TATTGCTAACTTCCCTATTATAGAAGACTTTTCCATTAGTTTGTGTGTGTGGTGTTTTGGTTTTTTCTTCCTATGTAACTGTTACCTGGGCAAGAAAGGTCTAGACTTGTGTTTGAAATGTGACTGCTTGTTTGTCCCTTGTTCTGTAGTTTTTTTTTCTAAATATAACTTGGATGTTACCTATTGTGATAATTGCTGAAATGCTTGTGTTCTGTAGGGCTTTTCTCACCAAAGTATACACACATGTTCCTGTGCAGCTGTACCCTGGAGGCATCCTTTTTGTGCTGTAGCTAGTCAGAAACAGTAGGGCATGGCAGTGAATCATGAATTAATATAAATCAAAAAAATCCTAAAGAATGAATTACTGGAGTTAGGAAGATGATAGATATCTTCCTAAGGATCACTAGTGCTCCTTTTATGCTGTGATGTGTGGATGGTGCTGCAGGAGGGTTTAAGCTACCTATGTGGGATGGAGCAGCACAGTTGCTCTTTAAAAGGGAAGAACATTGCTCTGCACAACTTGTTCAACTGAGAGTAGCAGGGCTGGTCTGTTAATTGTTTATAAGGCTGAGCCTTCCAACTACCAGCTGACTTGATGAGATGTCAGTGAGGCTGCTTGTAGAAATCCTTTGTACCTGAAAGAATCCTCTCAACATAATTACTTGATTAATTCCCTCTAAGAGCTCTGAAGAATCCAGACCTCACCTTACTAGCAAACCAGTTCTCTGCCATCTTTTTCTCAGTGTGTAGGAAGGATGCCCAAGCTGTTGGACAGTGTCCTTGTGACTATTCAGCAGAGAAACAGATTTTTCAGCTAAGGTGACAGACAAATTGAAATGAGCATGACGTCTCTGTCTCCCAGGGATGAATCACTGACACTGTCAGGAATGACTGGGTATAAAACCTTTTAAATAGGATGGGTACTCAGCTGCACTCTAATTGTCATGAAATGAGTGTGTTTCTCAAGCCACATCTTTGTTAGATGAACTGTGAAATTTATAACTTGCTGAATGAATGAGTGGAACAAATACTTGGTTTTCTACTTTTGTTGTAATGTGATAGAACCAGCAAGAATTTCTAAATTGGAATAGTTGATTTTTGCACTCTTTTCTATAAGATGTCACACTTTTGTGCCAGGTGGTTCACATCATTCTTGCATCCTTACTTGCATGTTTTCCTCTGAAGTTACCAGTGATTCCAGGCCAAACTTCAGAAAGGGTTTGCTGTCATACACAGCAAAGAGGTTGTTATGTGTAGGAGCATTATAAATACAGGAGTCTGTGTGTCTGAACACACAGTAAAGTGAGTGGGTGAGAATTATTAGTAAAATATAACAATCAATTCCATTGTTAAATCTTTTTACTCTTGATTTGCATTTTAGCTGTGAAAGATTTTTTATTTCTTGGAATTACTTGTGCCCTGGACAAATATGTATTTCATGGAACAGCAATTTCTGAGAAGGCATTGAAAATTAAAAAAAATGTTCTGTTTTTTTATAAGATGTCCTTTTATGGATCTGATTAGTTGTTTTGTATGAATGATGATATCTTTTCTTAAATGCGGATTTTAATCATTCTGTCTTTCACCTTTAAGTTTATTTTGACAAGTTCCATGCTTTTCCTGTTTTAACTCTTAACTTGTCTTTGTAAGTAATATGAGATAGTCGTGTATTTTGTCTTCGAATTTCAAGTTCTTTGTTCATGCTTTCAGATAATTTTAAATTTTCGGCCTGGAATGCTGTTGCAATTCCTTCTAATCTTCTGACAATCCTTTAATTTTTGTTTATTTTTCCTCAGTCTGAAAATCATGACATTAAAAATTAGTACAAAGCTTTTTTTTGGCTTTTGCTTATGTGTTTTTGAACATGACACATTTATCTCTGCCATGAGGAGTTAAAATTGTCATAAGTATCTCAGATAATTTCATTGCCTTTTTGTAAAGTCTTGAAAACAGCAAGTAAATAGGGGAAAATAGTTGCTAAAAATTTGGCATCCATCAACAGACAAAAATCACATGAAAATAAGTTCTTTTACACAAATTAGGAGATTGTGTGGACAACGATAGTTAACAATTTTTGTAGTGTGCTAATGTCGACTTTATCATGGATACACAGCATATTTCTATGTGTACAGTGACCATTTTTGTGGTGCAAGAAAATAAATACAATGAGTAGCTGATTAAGAGCATGACATGCAAATTCTTCCTACAGTTTGATGTTTATTTTTCTGCTGGGAGTAAATGGGCAGATTTTCAAGTGGATGCAACTTCACTGTAACAGAATAAATGGAATGAATCAGAAAATGATCACACTGGAGTTGTGTTTTTTATTTGTGCATAGCTGCTTTGAGATATTAAGGATAGAGTAATATTTTGCAGAGCTAACAGGAGGTAGGATTGCATATAGAAGTGCAAATTGACTCTGTGGATAAGGGAAACGTGTTGCTGTGATGCGATTGGATAAGAAGATGGATCTGACTAACCAGGAGTATGAACTCTTGAGACTGCAGCAGTTCACTTCAAGGCTGTTGCTTCCTGACTTTGAACTATGATTAGCAGGAGTTACTTTGTTTGTGTCACAGTAAAATATTTGGCTTGTTGCCCCAAGGAACAAAGATATTTTTTTTTTTCTCTTATACATGAAGATGGTATCTAAATTTTTACTTACCCATCTTGATACCTTTAAAACTTGGCACCATTTAGTTTGGAATTGTTTCATTGTGAAGTTACTTTGTGGAAAGGCACCAGATACCTGTTGCCATGTGAATACCAGTGTAATTACCTTCTTCATATGTGCATGTATTTGCTTAATGCTGGTCAGCATATGAGCTTGGATAAATTCTTCATTTTGAGTATGGATTGTAATGAGAATCACTAAAGAGTTTTGGAAACTGCCAGTCTCTCCACTTTCTAACCAATGATTTTAAAACTGTAGATCTTATTCTCCTGGTGTCTCTTTAAAAGGAGATGATTTTAAGTAGAGCTGGTGATGAGTACTTCTTTGTTTTCTGTTTTGTAAACACACAGAATTAGTGCAAGGCTGATGCATTTCTCAGAGCTTTTCATGCACATTGGAGCTGAAGTGATGTGGTCAGTAATAAAATGTTCATTCAGCTCTGCTATGGAGGGCAAGCCAGGTTGTTCTCATCAATCTTGCAAGTTCTGCTGTGTCTAAAAATTGTTGCATACATTGACTAAATCTTTACTTGTAGGAAGAAGAGGAATCTAATTCCAAGAACCAGCGAAATTACTGGCTTCAGGACTGTGTGTTGTCCTTGTCACCAACCAATGACCTGATGGTAATAGCTAATGAACAGAAAGCAGTCTTTCTAGTGCGTAAGTATCCATTCCACTGAGTGTTTATGCCAGGATACTTTATAGTAACCAGAGCAAGATTTGTTTGCCCCACTCCTTTCTGTTAATCCCTCAAGTCATATCTTCAAGAATTTTGAAGTATATTGTAGTACACAAAATGCATTTTCTAGGTGCTGTTTGTCAAATAAGTTGCTTTGTCTTTACTTCTCAGTTGTGTTTTGACCTTTTGGCAACTATTTTGCCACATGCATGTTTTAACTACCCAGTTGTTTTAAAATGCTCAGAGATATTGACATTGATTTTTCTCAGTAAGAATCCCTTAAAAAATTACCTAAGCCAGTATCGCATTTGGAAAGGAGCGTTCATATGAATTTTCTTGAAATTCCACCTTTGATAGAAAATTCTTGAATACTATCTTGAACTATTTTACTCTAAAGTAGGGCTCTGGTAGCTTTTAGAGGTGTCACTGCTAATATATGAGCACTGATCAGCATGCTGCTGTTTACAGATGTGCTGTTGTTTGAGGTTCTGGTCTTGCAGTGGGTGACATGTGAGGGAGATGAAGGGAAACATCCTGATATGGAGGCTATTATGGCATTAAAAAAAAAAAAATCAGTGTTGAAACTCAGATTTGCGTAGTTGGGCAGATTGTATTGAGTTGTTGTACTGCTTTGTCATTCCCTGCAAAGCTGCCTGTTCCAAACCTGCTGTAGACCAGTTGCTAATTTGTCATCAAAATTGGAAAAACAGCAGTACTCCTCATGAAGTTCTTAATGGAAAGAGCATAAAGAAGTGATTTAAATTTCTGGAGAACAGCCTCTGATGAACTTCACAGTGACAACTGTCCCCCACTGGGCAGAAGTGACCCTGTGCCTGAGGTTTTAGGTGTCAGACAAATGGCACACAACGCTAATTTAGTTTTGGTCATCCATTGACACCTGGGAAATGATTCAACAATCAAATGCCAGCTGTAACAGCACCCTGTGAATAATAAAGTATGGTGTCTTCTAACCTTGAATTATGATGCAATGATTAAAGATTGTCAGATTGAATGTAGGGAACTTACATTCTTTTTGGTAGTTAAAACTAAAATTTTCTATTCATTGTAGCTCATGTTCAGTAGTGTTCCCAGTTTTTCCTTGCTTAGTTCTTCTTTCCTAAGGATCACTGTTTCCTTAATTGAACCAAATTAAAATTTGATGGATTACTGTATAAATATTTTGAAACAAAACTAAGTATTTCAAAATTTTAGTGTCTTACTCCATGTAAATTTCTAAGAAAACATGAGTCCTTTAGAGAAGTCATTAAGAACGTATTTTTACTTTTATGCTCTTCAAGGTTTGTAATTGGCACTTAATCTAAATGTGGTAGGATGTATTGTACCAAAGAGAAAAATTAAAACTAGAACTATATTTGTGTGATGCAAAACATTGGGGTTTTAGAGATGGTATCTTTATTCTTCATGGCAGCTAAATGGAAGCACAGTGACAAGGGAAAGGAAGAAATGCAATATGCTGTTGGCTGGAGTGGCTCTCTGAATGTTGAAGAAGGGTAAGTTTTGAAATGCAGCTGTGATTTAAGATGTTATTTTCATGTTTAGCAATTAGTAACCTGCTTTTTACTTGTAATCTTTTTCCTTTCATTTGAGTGCATTTGTGGTTTTATGTATATTAGCATTGGAAACAAATACAGTAACATGGCTCATGAGAAACAGTATCTGCAAAGCTCACTCCTGTGTATTGTGTGGTATCACAGAACAAGTTCTTACAAATTAAAAGAATGGCTCTCTGCAAATCATTTGTGTGTACTTTAGACATGCTTTCTATAAATTCTTGTTTTAGAAGGGAAAAAAGTACTCTTTTGAAAAATCTTTTATAGTAGAGATGAAATTTTCTTAGGGAATGTTGCAATTGGAAATATATGAAGTTGTTCTAGAAATACTTGTCTTCATTTTCAAAACCTCATTTAAACAAGCATAGTCACCTCTCTGATCAAAATACAGTTTTGGGCTCTAAGTCAGGGACTTGGAAAATTTGCTTTGGTCATACATTTGGTATTTATACAATATTTGCGCTTCATCTATCTTCAAATAACCAGACAGATGCTTTTTTGAGTCTCCCATATGGAATAAGATTTTGCACTTTGCTGTTACATTTGCAGCCTTGAGTTGCTGTCTGCCTTTGAATGTGTTCCCTGATGCCTTCAACCTTCTGTTTGCTGCAGGAGGTGTTGACTTCATCAGCTTCTCTCCAATCTGCAAAAATCACAATCCTCTTATAAATATGCTGTTGCTATGTGCTTGAAATTACCCTGACATCTTTTGTAAAAAAAAAAAAATCTGTTTGATGGTTTGTTTCTTACTACGGTTACAGTCCTGAGGAATGCTACCCTATGAAACAGGTTGCTCTGTTTAGATAGGGGCACTTATATTCAATACATTTTGATTTATCATTCTGTGGAAGTGTTAATATGTTAATTACTGTCAAATTTCAAAAGACTTGACTGGTTTTTGTAGGTTTTTTGTTTGTATTTTTTTTTTCTCAAAGTTGTCTACAACTGAGACTGTTCTGTGTTGGCTAAGCTTTGCTATTGCAAGATAAGATGTCACTGAGATATTTAATGTTGCTTTGAGAATGTAATGAAATTGCAACTCATCTCAGCCTTGCATTTAGAAAGCTTTCCTTCTCTAATTGTCTACCCTGCTTATTTAGCCACTCTTTGGGAAATGGAGGTGACCTGAAATATAAATAATAAACAGTACTGCTGGAATTTATGCTTTAAGTGCTGTTTGGGATGTCATCTTGACTTCTATGCTGTCTCATAAAATCTTTGTACCTTCTGTTTCCCTAGACAGTGTAAAACTTTGAACTGTTACCATGATATGGTAACAGTTAAATAACTTCTGATTTGAGATATTGAGGCCTGCTCATCTGCTTGCCTTCTGCATGCTTTGCCTGTCATTGAGCATGCTCAGTTATTGCATTAACTGGGAAGACCATATTCAAATGCTCTCAAATTATAAGGCACTGAAAGGCGGTGGATATAAAATCTACCTAGTTGCATATTTCAAAAATTTATTTTGATATGTATGGTTCAGTTAGCTCTTAAAAAAAACAAAGTGTTTTTTTATGATAGATCATTACAGATCAGAAGAAATAATTTACCTTTAGGCACATGAAATTCAGCTTGAATCTGCTGAGCAGTAGTGGCAGAATAATCAGTCTGTGATTTATGAAAGACAGCATTAACAAGGTACAAAAAGTCTGTTTCGGCACTCTTGAACATGTAATTGAAGATGTCTTTAAAATGAAGGGATTTTTTTTGTTTCTAACTGTGAATTTGATATATGGTGTGCTGCACTAATGAATTAAAACTTTCAAAGTGCTGACATGGCAGGATTTCTTGCATGAAGTAAAATTTCACAACAAGGGAAGCCACTAATTTTGTGTTTCTGTTTCTAGTGAATGTGTGAGTAGTGTATTGTGTGTTCCACTGGCAAGTCAGAAGAGGTAAGGATGTGTATGCATCACTAATGTCCTTACATGACACTTTTCTGTGTGTCTGGCTTAGAGTGGGATTTGTTTTTGACTTGAGTGTATCTTTGTGAAACAGGAGCTCCACAGGCCGCCCTGACTGGACGTGCATCGTGGTTGGCTTCACCTCTGGCTACGTTCGGTTTTACACCGAGGTGAGTTTCTCAGTGGGGCAGGACAAGGGAGCTCTTGGTGTAAACATCTGGGTGTTTTCAGCTTTGGTCCCTGCAGATTGTGCTTTTTGCCTTTCCCAAGAGAAGGGATTGAAATGTTCATGCTTCTTATCCTGTCTTTTCTAGAGTGGAGTACTGCTTCTTGCACAGCTTTTGAATGAAGATCCTGTCCTACAGCTAAAGTGCAGAACCTATGAAATTCCCAGGCATCCTGGTGTCACAGAACAGGTTTTGTCAGATTATTTCAAAAGCGAAGTGCCAGTGTTATGGGGTATGGAAGGGAGTCTTCTCTGTGAATGCTCTGTGTCCTTTACCAGTTTTTGATGGGATGGACAATTCCTTAGAACAAGAGGCCCTTGATTTCTTGTTCTAGATGTGTTCATGCCTGTATAGTTTGAGAAGTCAAAATGTCTTTTGGAGTATTAACATTATTGATTTTTTTGTTTTATTTTTCTCTGTTTGCAAAGGAATACTTCATTCATGTTCTATTTATTCATTTCTGTGCAAAAAAACATAATAATGCATTGATGAAGGGAAAAACTTGACAGGTGCCAAGAGCTATTCATACTCATTCTTAAGAACTTATCTTAATTATTTCACAGAGAAGATAGCTGGAAAGTAAAAGAATGCTTATAGGGCTAGGTGCCTCCATGTCGTTATGAGTATTTCCTGCAGAGAAGGCTCTGCAGAACTCAAACTATTTAGTAAAGAAGGCAGCTTTCTTTGCTTTTGGCCAAGTTGGCAAGCTTTATGTGGAAAATGAACAAAATCACTGAAATTTCCAAGTTTTCTTTGTACAAATACTCACATGATTTAGTATGACATTTTTGGGATCAGTTTTGAAATACAGAAGCATTAAGGAATATGAATCTTGTATCACCAGATTAGCATTTACGTGCCCAAGTGGTAATTCAGGCAGGCATTAATCCAATTTCATAATTTGGCTTCCTAAAACTGTGATATTTACATTCTAGATGAACTTGTTTTTCTGTTGCCTTCAAAAGCTGCTGTAACTTATGTAAGCCATAAGATATATAAAGCAAACGAAGAAATTATTAGAAGAAGATAAAAATAGAAAACTATGTGGCTAAAATAATTTTTGGGAGAGTTTAATACTGAATTTCTGTAGCTTTGCCTTAGTCTGTTGCCTGTGGCTTGTTTAGTATTAATTCTCTGGATGTAATCCTCATCTTTGTGTAGTTAATAGTATAAAAAGCCAGAAAATAAGCTGTTCTAACAGTAGCAGTGGTTTATCTTTTGTCTCCTTTTTCTCATTTTTTTCCCCAGAACGAGGAACTAAGTATCTTGTACCCAGCAGCAATTGTGACAATTGATGGCTTCAGCCTCTTCCAGTCCCTTCGTGCATGTCGCAATCAGGTAGCAAGAGGTACGTGTAAAGAGAAATGTTTATTTTTCAATCTGGTAATAGTTCCTTATTTTTTAGGAAATTTGCTTAAATTAAATATAAAATCAAGGTGGAATTTAGATCTTCTTCCTTGTTCATCAATACATTGACACCTACTGCATTCAAGGATGTTTCTTCCTTTACAGAAAATGTTCCCAGAGCCCAAGTTGTCCAAGTAGTATTGACGGTATTCTACATGCTCACCATAAAACTGTACACTGGTTTTGACTGGGATAGAGTTAATTTTTTTTTTTCCCAGTACCTGGTATGGGACTGTGTTTTGGATTTATGATGAAAACAGCACTGCATGCTGATGTTTTAGGTGGTGTGGACCACTGCTAGGTCAGTGTCAAGGCTTTTTTTGTTTTTCACACTACCCTGACAGTGAGCAGGCTGGGGGTTTCCAGAAACTTGGAGGGACACAGCTGGGACAGCTGACCCCAGCTGACCAAAGAGATACTGTGTGCCATATGATGATACTCCTGGAAATAAACCTGGGCAATCTTCAGAGTTATGGCATTTGATTTCCCAAGCCACTGTTATGTGTGATAAAGCTCTGCATTCATGGAAGTAGCTAAATAGCTGCCTGCAGCTGGAGTGCTGTAGCTTCCTTCATTCTTGATCATCTATATTTTGGATAATAGATATTTTGAAAGTGACACTCACTGGTTTAGTCTTACCACTGTTCTCACCTCCCACTGTTATGTATCTAGTGAGTGTTCTGAATTTGCAAGTACTTGGGTGGAGAAGTTTCCACTTAAACATGCCCAAACTACAAAAATCAATTGTAGTTGCTTTTAAAATTGTACCATATATATATATATATATATATATATATATATAAAATATATGATGTGTATATATATACATTACCCATAATAGCTAGTAAATGCGCTATCTGCAAGCACGAAGTGTATTTATAATAGAATATCATGTGCAGTTCTATTTCAGTTAATTTTTAAAAAATGTTTTCATGACAGTAACTATTTCAAAAGGCCATTTTAACAGATGTTTTAATGTGTGTTAACTTAAAACTAGGTTATTTTGTGGGTTCAGATTGCATCAGGTGTTTTTTTTCTCTCTCTGATATGCTAGTCCTTTGTTGTTGACTCAGTAGAAATTTTTTTGTGCTTTATCAACTTTTGTCAGCTGCAGCATCTGGCAATGAGAATGTTCAGCCTCCACCATTAGCTTATAAGAAATGGGGTTTGCAAGATGTGGATATGATTGTTGACCATGCCAGTATTGGTAAGCATTTCTGTTTAATTTCAAGTATTTAAAAAATAAAATTAATGTTTTTGTGCAGTTAAGTTCTGGTTGAGAGCACTTAGTGATACTGGTTGGATAGAAATACATAGTGAGAGAAGGCTGTCATAGTAAGTGATCTCATTAACCACTATCAAAAATATTTTTGGTTTTCTTTTCTAGTCTGATTGAGTCTTCCCTCTTACAGCTGTAACTGTCTTGTTCTTTGTTGTTTGGTAAGAAACAGCTAAGAGAGACCAGATCAGATGCATTTATTTCCATTTCTGTCACAACTGTCTGGCAGGCAGGTTAAGACTGGTATGGGTCTTTCCTGAGTCTAACACATAAGGAAGATTAAATTTGAGATGTTTCCTTTCCAAAAAGGACAAATTGATTTATAGGCTCTCAAAGACTTCTAGCCTTCAGGAATTTGCAGAAGCCTCAGTTCTTGTGCATATCTGAGGGACCGTAAGCTTAGTTTCTCTTCCACCCTTTCTACAAAAGCAGCTAAGAGGTGAGAAGGCTGATATCAAGGCAGGTGAAGTGAGTTTGGTACATGTATTTTCGCTGCTGAACTCTGCTGAATTTTTTTTCTTCTGAACAAACCAGATGTGCTTTATAATTAATCCAAATCCATTAGGTTATTTCTGCCATGTTGTTTGGCATTTCTATGGTTAAAGCTGTTCCTCTTCCTTTCCCCTGAATGCTGGCTTGTCAATCAAGAAGGCAGGAATATATTATGCTTTTAGAGCAATTGCATGCCTCTGTTCTGAATGTGTAAGACATTCACTTTAATGTTTTTGTTAGGCATCATGACACTGTGTCCTTTTGATCAAATGAAGACTGCCTCCAATATAGGAGGATATCATGCAGCTATAAAAAACAGTCCACCTGCCATGTCCCAATATGTTACTGTTGGAGCCAATCCTTTCACTGGGTTCTTTTTTGCCCTGGAGGTATGTACTACAAAGCTGACTCGCTGAAACTTTGAATAATTTATCTTTTTTCTGTATGAATATTTCTGAAGTATTCTTATGTTCATTTATGTTGCCATTTCCCCTTCTTGATCTTCTGGAACTGGAGTGATTTGGAGTGGATGTGATAGTAGTGTCTAGTATGGGTTCCTGCTACTGAGAAATTTTATCTTCTATCTTAAATTGAATGTGATAAGTAATTTCTTCAAATTTGTTCATTTATTGCAAACTAATGTTTTTGAAAAATTATGTTGGTATTGTGTAAACATGCATCTTATGGATATTTGGAGGCCTTTAGTCTTTGATTCAACATGACCTGAGTACATTGTAGTGATTTCTTGTAGGAGAAACCTGCATTTTTTGCTTAACTGTGGCATACTTAGATAATCTTCTATTGTATGGGAAGAAAAGGATGTCAGTGTAGCTGTGTCTGTACATTCAGACCCTACGTGCATGCTGTCCTTAGCAGGATTGAAAGTTAATTGAAAATTCTAGAATTGGAATTTTGGTTTTTGCTTTCCAATAGGTTTGTGAAAACCTGCTTATGTTGATATTTGTAAGGATGTCAAAGCCATACCCCAGCCAGCACTCTATGATAGATGATACACAGGGTGTTTTTAACTTCTGTTGCAGACAAACATACTGAGCTATCAGTGACTTGCAGGAGGATTTTGAAATTGTAAGGAGATGTCAGAATGGCTTTTCTGGGGGCAATGAATTTAAATTTTGCAGTCTTGAAGCTATGCTTTCTGAGTGGAACTCCATAGGAGGCCTGAATGACTATTCTGCAGTTGGGTTCAGTTTAAGAACTATATCTTGGCTTTCTAGAGATTTTGTTGCTTCATTTCAGGGTGGTTCAGACCTGATTATTTCTTGTCTTTCTAAACACTTTATTCCTGTATTCCAGGGTAGCTCACAGCCACTGTTGTCTCATGTTGCCTTAGCAGTTGCAAGCAAACTGACTTCAGCATTATTTAATGCTGCCAGGTAATAAATTTTTTTTAAATTTCATAGGGTTTTTTTTTTTTTTTAGTTTTAGCTGCATAATATTTTGAATATTTTTAGGACCATTAGTGTAATTCTTGTTATGTTCTTCTGTTGCAAGCGGCTGGCTTGGTTGGAAGAGTAAACATGAAGAAGAACCTGTCCAAAAACAGAAACCAAAAGTGGAACCTGCAACCCCATTGGCAGTGAGGTAAGTTGGTTTTTTTTTTTCCACTGTCAGTGCTTTGGATGTCTTGTGTTTTTAATTATTTAAATTATCTTGAAAGGTGTATAATTGAACATGTGGCTGTAAGCAGTGATGGTAGTTTGCAGGTCATTTGTTTTAAGCTTTTTTGCATTTCAGATTATCATTCTGGATAAATAATTATTCATCTTTCCCTTCCAGTGCATGGGTTTATAGTTACTGTACAGTCATTGCCTGACAGTGCATGACAGTGCAGTCATTTATCCTGCTTTCTGAACTTTGCTTTTTCAGTAAGACTTAGGCAGAGCTATGAAATATCTTGGTAGGCAGAACAAGAACTTTTTTTATTATTTGCTCTTAATTTTTCCCATACCTTCTGTTACCTCAAAAAAAGAAGTCTTAATCCTTAGAAGAAAAGCTAACTATTTCTGAAGAAAAGGATGTGTCTAGTGGCTTTGCTTCATTATTATTCTTTCAGATTTGGACTTCCCGACTCCCGGCGCCATGGTGAAAGGATATGTCTTTCTCCATGTAACACTTTGGCAGCAGTAACAGATGAATTTGGAAGGGTTATTTTGCTGGATGTTACAAGAGGACTTGCAGTTCGCATGTGGAAAGGTATGATAGTGGTATTAGTGTAGCAAATAATATTCTTCAAAACACTGGGGAATCTTATATTCAGTCTTAGAATTCCAAGAATTCTAGTACATTGCTTCAGTACAAACCAAAGTCAGGTGTAATATTAAGTCCATAAGGGTATTTTTGTAAATCCCTGGAATACTTATATGGCCTACAGTTAAAATTTGATCTGTTTGCTTTGTATTTTATTTTGGAAGAGCTTTAGCACTATTCCTCAAGGTTCTTTCTCTTAAAAAGTTCTAGTACCATCTTAAATTCTGCTGAGAAGATAAACTTTGAAAAATCACTAAGACATACAGATTATTAGATTCTCATTTCATCATGATGGCTGTGCAACAAGGGCAGCCTCAATTTCTTGCATTGATGTAATGTCCAGAGTACTGACCTGATGAGTTTTGGGGTGTTTTTATATCTTCTGAAGAAGAATTTGTTCCTCCACAAAGCTTTGCCGAAGGCTGCGTTTGGCCACTCTTTGGTGGGCCCTGTTCCAAGTCAATGGACTGGAGTTCTTTGCAGGAGTCAGGAGTTGCACAATTTGAAACAAAGCTTAAGATTACAGCTTGATGTGCTAATTCTGTATTAATTTCTGCACACTAGTGACCTTCTGTCTTCTCTTTACAAAGGATACCGTGATGCAGAAGTTGGTTGGATACAGACTGTAGAGGACCTTCAGGAGAGGGAAACTGAGAAGATGGATTCTTCTCCTTTTGGGAATGCACAGGGTCCAAGCAGGGTAGCTCAGTTCCTTGTGATCTATGCTCCAAGAAGAGGCATTCTGGAAGTGTGGAGCACG